CATCGGCGGCCTGCCGGTGGGCAGGGGGAGCCGTGGGTCGGTGTAGCGATGCCCCGGCGCAGCAGGGACGGGGCAGCCCTCAGCCCCGGCAGGTCTGCTGCAGCCAGCTGGGCTGGAAGCTTTGGGAGGCAGTATTTTTTTTAAAAAGACCACAAAAAAGGGTATAAGCCATGGAGGCTACAAACTAATCCATTTCTGTTAACGTTCAGGATATCGTGCTTTTTTTTTCAAACTGGGACTGGGGTTGGTCCGTACTTTAGCTGTTGTTTTCCTGCGATCAGGCAGAGACGTGCCTCACCGTTGCTTGGTTTGGGTCTTGAGTGGTTTTAAGTAAGAGACTGCGAACGTTTCCTGGCTAAAACAGAAAGAAAAGAGACATTTGGACAAAAACATGGGTCCGTGCTGAGCTTTGCCCCCGCCGTGTGCACAGAGCTCCTGCCTGTTCCCGTCCCTTGCCCTGGGGATGGAGGGTCGGCACCTCGAGAACCAGCCCATCCCCTGCGGTTGCTTCCTGGGGCTGCGTTCGCGTCCCAGCTCTCTCACCAGCGCCGTGGGATTTTGGGGGAGAAAGCGGAGGGTTTTGATGTGGGAGCCTCTTTGGGATGGAGGGAGGCTGGAGGTGCAGCTGAGCTGCTGACCATGACGCTGTGGCACGGTGCTGCGTGGCTCGAGGGCAGCAGGAGCATTGCAGCTTGGCTTTCTGGTGGGTTTGGGGTGGCGGGGTGGGTTCTCTGGTGTCTAATAAGGGTTGTGCTTACCTGGCAGCCTTTCTTGTGCTCAGAGAAAGTGTCTGTCCTCTGCTCCATCTCTGCAAGTGACGGAATCCATGCGCTTTTGAGTCCTGTGCCCCTGTGCCACAGTTGGATGAACTGGGTTGAAAAATTACCGGGGGAGGAAGGGAAGAGGAGAGGGTGAGCAGGACAGATGGACATGTCCGTGCATGCAGTCTCGTGAGGACGGCTCGGCTGCATATTCCTCATTCCTTTCCCAAAGCAGGCTCCCCACCTGGAAACGCTGCAGGCTGCTGCACACCCAGTCACGTCTGCAAAGGGCCATCGTCTCCCACGGCTGGGGGGGAGCGTCGGGGCCCCCAGGCTTTAGTTTGTGCG